CTTCTCAAATCAAACGGCACCACATCATGCTTTTTAAAAACATCAGACATGTGCTCCCCAACACAACCTTTACACAGATTCATGGGACATAAGTTACAGTACATTTGTACAACTCTGTCTTTACAAAGGTCACATCTGATGATATCCTGGGCGCTCAATCTAGGGTCCATTTTTCCCAATGAGGATCTCTAATATTCTGTACAGTTAAGTAAAAATTAAATTCAGTAATTAATTATAAAGAATAAGAAATAACGTGCACTGTAAAAAAGAATTTGTTGAAAATGAGAACTTTTTTACCTGCTAAATCTCTTGTGTTCTCTATTTAACTGAGCAAGAAACTATGGCAATTCAATATTTTATCAGCGGAGATTAACTTTATTATCGACAGTTGTACCATCTTGTACCAAACTAACACTGACACTATCTATCTTTTTCTACTTTGTAAATATTGCCAAAGCATCATATTTGTTTAATTCTTGACAGTTGTGACCTTTGATACATTTTTTTAAGTGTTCGTGTCCTTCTCAACTCCAAAGGTAATTTTCACACTTTTAAAAAGCAGTGTGTATAGAATTACACACTGTCCATCTGTTATCATCATTATTAATTAGTAAATGTCTTGCTGGAGAATGTATCATTAAGATTCAGCTCATCTAGCATAATTAGATTGCCCTCAATTAATGTTGGAATTTCAAGATTTGTCTTTTGTTGTTTTTCTATATAAATTCAAGACGGTTCACACAAGAGTTCTCAGTTGAGAAATGACTTGTTTATAAAGAGGATGTACATATTATCTTTTCCTTGGAAAGGGGGGGGGGGGGTGGGGTTAATTTACAGAAAGGTATCAATGTCTCGTATAGGCATTTCTATGCAAATAAAATAATTAAAATGCCTAAAGACTATTTCAATTATACAAAGAAAGCTAAAACTTATTGTCTAATAAATACTTGTTACCCACGACATGAGATAGCCAGTACACATTATGACATCATATTATTTATGTTCTTTACTACACTAGATTATAAAAGACATACACAAAAATGGTTCGGCGCATGGGCAAGCGCTATTTTATTTTACTGAAACAGGTATATTTAGAAGCAAAATATCCCAAAGATTGCCGGTATTGCTGCATAAATATCAACAACTCAGTTGTATTATTTCTATTTGAAAAGTTTTAAGTTGAATCTGGGTAAAAATGTACAGTCAGTCCGGTATAAGTTTCCTCAAACTCCGATGAAATGAGAAAATGCCTAGGATTTGCGTAGCAGTTTTATTAATCTATGTAATATTCTTCTTAGCATTATACGTTCTTTATGTAAAATTAAATAGAGTTATCCCTTGCGCCGACGCTGTTTTGTTGATGTGTTTTATAACCTCGTGTAGGTAAGAACAATGACGTCATAATATGACGTCATACCGTGTACTGGCTATATCATATCGATGGCACTAAGTATGCATAAGAAAATAAATCAAAGCTTTCTCTGAATAAAAAAATATATCTCTCGTGCGTTTTTATCAGCTCATTTGCATAGAAACGCCTATAACTAGCCTTAACTTAATGACAGTTGAAAGTCCAATATGCATAAAGACTATGCCCCTTAGTCGTTATGCATAAACTTTTCACACTTGTCATCTTATCAATGACAAAGTGAAGATAACAAACAGTGATCATTCACATAAAACTCTACATACTATACAAATGTTTCAACAGCTAGGGCATAAAACACGAACCCCTATAGAAATTCCAGAGGTGGGATCACGTGTCTAGGAGGAGTAAGCATCCCCTGTTGACCAGTCACAGTTGCCTTGAGCCCTGTGTATTGATGAGGTAGACAGAACATTATGTAGTCAAATTAGTCTCAAAACAAAGACCTACCAATTGGTATGATACACATAAGCCAAAATACGACCCTATGATAGGTTATTTTTGCTAACAAAGTCCTTATAGTGTAATCGAGCAGAAGAAGAACACCAGGTTCATGTTTATATCTTTAGTTAACAGCAAACAAACGGCAATGACATTAGTGTCTAGAAAGAAAATATACATAAATTATTCTACCCATTAGACAAAATATAATATGAAATAGATAGAAAATGGAAAATTAAATTATAAGTTATGAAAAAGAAAAGTATTACAAAAGCAAATACCTATATGAACAGCACGACCACGAGGTGTCGTGACCTTGAAACTGGCTGGCGGGACAAGAAATTCTAATCGAACCTGTGTATTTATACCCAAATCTACTGCGCAACTGGATTGAGTTGATTTAAAGAATACACCAGTCAGGAATAAGATTACAAAAGAGTGTTCGACAAAAGCCCTTACAAAATGTTAGAATCTCACTGACTTGATTCAAATCATCGAAAAAAAAAGTTTACAAAAATGAGTTCGATAGTCGTCTAAATAGAATATATGGAATTACTTGATTACACTCTCCCCAGCCAAAAAAGGGCTGTCCTCAGCATATGAAATGACAAGGTTAATTAATCTATACCTTCATCACATGTAAATCAAGGCAGCTTTTACGTGCAAAAATATATATTCAATAATCAATTTCCCAGACACGTGCTAGATACAACGTAGCTCCCTCAATTATTATCATAAGAAATGCTGGGGAAAATTAGAATTTAATGCAATAATGTGAAAAAAACATTCAAAATCATAACATAATATACACATCACCCTCAAAGTTCACTTTCATAGAACAATATATCCCAGAAATACATATATATACATCATAAAGAACATTTCCTGATTTCGGATCGATTCACTACCTTTACAGCACATGGGTCTTTCACTTGTGCAGTACGAAACACAGAAGAATTTTGATAAGGAATTTCAGTGACCAAGTAAGAAACATCACTCCAATTATCCTGAATTTCATGACGTTTTCGGAAGTTGAGATTTTTAAGGTATACATTGTCGTCAATGGAAATTTCTGAAATTGTGATAAGTTTGTCGTGGGATTCTTTTCACATCTCTGCATTATGTTTGGTCTCTTGCAGTGCACGTTGATAAGCAAACTTTCTTTACTTTGTTGAATCCATCGGTCCAAGTCCTTTGTTTGACTTTTGTCATAATCTCCTAAAAGAAGGTCTATATTAACCCTTTCTCTACCGGCGCATTTTACGTGATTTTGGAGACATTTTGACAGAGTATTATCAAATTATTTCTAACTTTTTAATCAAAGGAGAAAGCTAGGCATAATGCATACCATTTTGTAGGAAAATTTTTAGAGATGATTTTTCATGACTATTCACATACCCAACGACTGACCTTATTAGTAGAAATGGAGGTCAAAGGTCAATTAAATGCAAAATTTTATCGAAATTTTTTATACTTTTTAATCTTCAAGCTAAAAATTTACAATGATGTACGTTGAAATAGGAAATTTGGAATATACTCACAAAAGAGCATTATACTGTACTACATGAATCACATAAACTTTTTTTTCAATTCTGTATGTAATGACTTAAAAGGGGTTGCTTAGCAACATAATATTTTTTTAATTTTCGGGCAGCAATTTTCGTTTTTTACTCATCCTAGACACATTTGTGCATTCCAGCACACATTAAAGTCAGATGTGAGGTCATAAAATTAAAAGGGATATACAGAAGATAAATTGTCTTAAAGTTTGACCTCATTAGAACTATTTTTAGGAGGTCAAAGGTCAAATAAGTGCAAAAATTTCATCAACTTTTTCAACACTTTTCAGTATTCTTGCTAAAATTTTACACAATGGATGCTGAAATAGAAAATTCTGAAAACACTCTCTAGAAGGCATTATGCTGAACTGCAATATTCATACACCATTTAAGTTTAAATTTGTGTTTAATGACTCTTAAGTGGTTGCTTAGCAACTACAACATCTTTTTATTTTTCGGCTGTATATGTTTGTTTTCAATCAATCTTGACACTATTGTGCACTCCATGATATTGTTAAGTAAGATATGGAGCCAAAATAACGTAAAGGATATACAAGAGATTCTAATTATATGTGCTGATGAGCCTACTAAGATACAACTAAAACACCATTATCACATTAATCAATTTAATTGATAAATGAATATTTTTCGTTGCTAAGTAACAATACCCATAGTACAATTTTAACTAAAATTCACATTTCTGCCTCCATACAGTATAATATCAATATACTTACAAAGCATAAGGTTTAGCATATATCAAATTATTTAAAAAGATATTCCTCAAACATATTTGATTAGGTTTTTAGCAATAATTAACCTTAATATTTTTGAGGCCATAAAGGTCAAATGTCATTAAGTGCAAAATTTGTGCTTCAGATTTTTGTCTCTTTTTTCAAACTTTTCCTTCCACCATGAGAAAATAAATTAAAAATTACAAAACCGAAATAGACGCCTTTTACACTACTGTTTATTTAAAATAATTCAATTTGATTTTTAATATTTTTGGCTGCTAAGCAACATACATCAAAAGTACAAGAACAGAAAATTCAGGGATTGGGCCCTTGAAAAATGAGGGAATCCTAATAACAGACACAGTGGAAAAAGCGAATTTATTGAACCATCAGTTTCAATCAGTTTTTACAAATGAAACAAACACAGTTATACCAGACAAAGGTACAGGCCCCCACCCTGACATGCCCCCTATATCTATTAGGAGTACAGGAATTATGAAATTACTGTCAAATATAAACTCACATAAGGACTGTGGACCAGACAATATAAATGGCAGGGTTTTGAAAGACCTATAAGAACAAGCCACACCTATCCTTACACTATTATTTTCAAAGTCATTAGAAACTGGTGAGATACCTACTGATTGGAAACATGCAAATGTAGCTCCAGCTTTTAAAAAGGGTGAAAAATATAAAGCAGTAAATTATAGGCCAATTTCATTGACTTGCATATGTTGCAAGTTAATGGAACACATAATCACAAGCAACATCATGGCCCATCTAGAAAACAATAACATCTTATATGATTTACAACATGGGTTCAGGAAATCAAGATCATGTGAATCACAATTAATAGATTTTATCCAAGAACTAACATACAAAAACAATAACAACATACAAACTGACTTAATCATAATGGACTTTGCTAAAGCCTTCGATAAGGTTCCCCATCGTCGCCTCCTGTACAAATTAAAATTCTATGGTATAAGACAACAGACATTAAACTGGATTCATGATTTTCTATCAGATAGAACACAAACAGTAGTAATAAATGGCATTTCCTCCACTTCTGTATCTGTCACTTCTGGAGTGCCCCAGGGAACAGTCCTTGGACCTATCCTTTTTCTTATTTATATAAATGACTTCCCTGAATATCTCCATCATAGTAAACTAAGGCTCTTTGCTGACGATAGTATCATCTACAAGGAAATAAAAACACCAGAAGACTGTCACAAACTACAATCAGATCTAGATGCAGCTGCACGGTGGGAGTCTGATTGGCTTATGGCTTTCCACCTAGACAAGTGTACTAAACTTACCATCTCTCATAAGAAACGGACATATTCTCAAAATTACATTCTACATGATCATGTACTTGAGTCAGTAAGTTCAGCCAAGTATTTAGGTGTAACATTACAGTCAAATCTAAAGTGGAACACACATTATGACAATATTATTGCAAATGCAAATAAATCATTAGGATTCCTTAAACGAAATCTGAAAATTTCAAACACAGAAGTAAAATCCAGAGCCTATCAAGCAATAGTGCGCCCTTAACTCGAGTATTGTTGTAGTGTTTTGGATCCACATACGACACTGTATAGACAAAAACTTGAAATGGTTCAGAGAAGGGCGGCTCGCTATGTACATAACAATTACCACAATACCAGTAGCGTTACAGACATGATTAGTACACTACAGTGGCCAACACTAGCTGAGCGACGCCTCACAACCAGATTAATAATGTTTTACAAGGTAGTTCATCAACTTGTTGCTATACCTACAGACATACTTATACCTACAGATGCAAGAACCAGACAAAATCACACACAAACATACAGACACTTACAAGCATCAAAAGAAACATACAAATGGTCCTTTTTTCCACAAACTATAATACAATGGAATTTGCTTCCCCAGTCTGTTGTCCAAGCCAATAAAGTAGAAATTTTTAGAGAACAGCTAACCCCAGCTGTCCTCAACAGTATCATGTAAAAATTAACATTCCTTTTAATCACAAATGTAAATAAAAGCACAGTTTTTTTTCTTTATATTAGTTTGCTTAGGTCACTTATGCGCACCAGCAAGTAATCTTCAGCGCTCTGAAATTTTGTTGTAAATAGAAGAAGAGAACAAGACCGAGGGAAATATTATACAAAAATACTTGAGGTACTATCCATTTGACACTGTAATGTTTCACTCTTCTTCCTTTAAAAAAACAGTTCAAATTAATTATCTAAAAACTTATTAAAATTAAATATGCTTTTTATAATTAATTTCACATTCATTTTACAAAGATATCCAAAATTGATAAAAATTTAATAAAAATTCTGACAAACTAGTATGATTGCTTACATATCAACAAATGTATGGCAAATTACACCTATATGTAAATTTAATATAATCGATAATCAAGAAGTTGAACATAATTGTTGAGAAACTTTTATGCAATGTCATCAAGTCTCATAGCAGTTTAATATCTATATATGTACATATATTAGAATTCACTGGACATCAGAAATATGTACTTTAAAAATACATGATGTTTTTCATAGCTTTCTCTTTTTACATGACAAATCTGCACTCTTTCGAACATCTTCTCCTTCTTTACTATGCCATTTCTTAAAACAATTTCTGTCACTTGATAAACAAACAGGAACTTGGCATGATGGAAAAAATACAAGTGTCTTATAACTAGGAGACTTCTTCTTTAAAAGTATTGCCTCAGCATTACAAAATGTACAATCTTTTCTCTTATCTAAAAATTCAGGTATACATTTAACAACACTTTCTTTTGATACACACATTTCATTCAAACCCATCAGTGACAAACCAAGTGATTCACGGAATTCAAGTTGTCCAAACCCTGAAGAACAATTTGTAATCTGACTTTCATGCGATTTTCTAAATTCTTGAAAAGAATATAAGAATTCACAACCATTATATCTAATAAATGAAAAAACAAAACTTTCCACCAATGATATTGTGTTCTTATATAAGATGGATATTTATTTGTAAACTGGTTTGAAAGATCAACTGCTCCCATACATTTATTATAATTATTTGCTACTACAGGTTGTACTAGTTCTTTTTTGTTCCAAGTTAATCTAGATTTCATAGTGCGTTCACAAACAGTTGTAGCTGAACCCTGGTGTAAAGGTGACATAAAAGTGACTACTTTACAGTCTTTCCACTGAACAAATACAAATTCATCAACTCTGTGCCATCTAAAGTCACCACATGTTGCTACTCTTTCCCAAATTTTTACATCTCTAAGTTCATCAGGTATAGATAAACTGTTTGATTTCAGTACCCCAACAAGCTGGTAAAGTTTCCTTGCAAACAATTCTTTGCCAAGAGCTAAAGATGTATAAAAACAATCAGTAGAAAGCCTATACCCTTGATCAAAAAGGGATTCACATAATCTAAGTGTTACATTGTATCCAATACTTTTTGCACGATCAGTAAATATGGTGTTCTTTTTACCAAGGTAAACAAAGAAGTCGTATGTGTACCCAGACATGTTACAAGCTACAACCCAAAGCTTTATACCAAAGCGAATAGGCTTGTCTTTAATAAATTGACGAATACCAGAGAACTTATGTTTTGATGAAACCATTCTCTCATCTACAGCTATTTCCCTGTGTGGCTGGTATAATTCCTTTGACTTTTCTTTCACATGGTCAACCAATGACTGTACACGCGTCAACTTCTCAGCTGTTAAAAATAAGATTGAAAGCAATGTAAACTGTGCTTCACTGACCCTATCTGTAGTTTTTAGAAATGCTACATTTAAAGATAAATTGCAAAAAGTATTAATGTACTGGGATACCCTTTTAGAAAAAAAATGCTGTAATTCAGTCATTTACTTTTGTTCAAGAACTGCAATGCAAGCATTAATTTCCTGACTTATTAGCTTCAGAGACTGAGTTAAAATTTATGTTACATACATGTAAATGCAACTGTGACATATTTACAAGCTAATTGAAGGGTTTAAATGTCACAAATCTTCTTCAAGTACAAAGACATAATACATAAAAACAGTAAGAGAAACCTTTGTTGATATCAGCTGGAGGTGTTACTTGTAAGAAGGATAAGATGGCCTGAAATCTAGTTCTCGACATAACTCCTGGTACTGGGTTGTTCCTATAGAGAACCTGCATTGACCAATACCTTTCTAGCATTTGGAACTTTACCACAGACATGTATAAAATAATTCCGAGAAATCTGAAACAAAAGTACGTGTATTTCTTTTAAATGGTTATGGTTCAAGTTGTGCTGACCTCACATAATAAGGAATCTAAGTTAGCATTAGTTTCATGTATGAGTTGAGTAGTAAGATATTTCATATTTAGTGATTTGATGATGTAAACTAGTTGAATCTGATACGTCAAGAAACATTTGTTTAAAAAACACTATTACCCACTGAATAATGAAGCCACGCCCTCAAGCATAGCAACAGTCAACATTGCTTGACAACATTTAATATTAAAAATATTATATTGAATGTGCAGAATTTATGTGCGCAGGGTTCATTGTTCACTGTATTATTTGTATAAAAAATTCAGTATAATATAATAAATATTGCATGTTACTTTGTAGGTCAGTGAAACATTGAAAATTTTCATTCCTTGATAACCATTGTCAATCTCGGCTGCACCTTGGTTGACAATAGTTTTCTTGGGGTGAAATTCTCCATGTTACATGCAACTACATGCAGTACATACTTATATAATATGTAATTGCAGTTTACAGCTTGTATGGTAAATGCAAATGACTCATAGGTAATACAAAAATAGCCCGAGTTGGTAAAGGTGATATTGAGGAAATTCACTTTATAATCTAAATGACATTAATTTAGAATTAATAATACCTGTACAATTCCTCTACAGTGAGAGGAGTCCAATTCCCTTGACTTGCATAGGATGACCTTTCCCCTCTAGATATAAGTATTTCGGCATGATGATTGGTGGCCACACAGATCGAAAAAACCAAAGCCTCCATCAAAAACAGTTTTAAAAAATCAACTGGTTCTCTGAACTGCCTAGCGCTATATCTGAAAGAAAACTGGACATATAAGACTTAAAGTATTTCTCATAACCCTGCTTATGAATTTGAGAGCACATTCATAAAGAGAGTGAATAATTTTTCATGTTTTGTTTTCTCTAAACTATGCATGTCTATGGTATATATTAAATTGTACATGAGTTTTTTTTTGCTATATTTAACCTTAAGAGCCGTCCCAACTGAATGCCAGGCTGTCTTTCTGGATGAAATGCGACAGTTCTCGGATCTGGTGCCCCTGTGTCCTCTACATTAGCATCTCTCCAGTGCATATCTGGGTTTGCGAGTGGATCATCACTGGCAGAAGAAATCTGTGAACTCCCAACCGAAGATTGGGATACCAATTCCCTTTTAAAATTAAAAATATTTTTAAACTTACAAACACACTGCAATACATTTGTCCTCTACTGACCCTATAATTTTTCATAGTACACCACACCCCAAACACAATATTATTAGAATTTGGAAATGAAACTGAGAAATTAAAATCTGAATTGTACATGAAATTCACATATTAATGAAAAAAATTCTTTTTAAATTGCCATGCTTTTGTTCAAAGTTCCAAATGACTTTCGGGTTGTGGTGGTGGTGGGATGGGGGTAGGGGGGCTGCAGTTCTCAACTGGCAAGAAAATAATTTTTCTTGTTTAGTGCTACATGTACCCCCCCCCCCCCCCTCATGAAATTAGAATTGTGGAGTTTGGACAAGTTACATATCTTGTACATTTATATTATTTTATTTACATTTTTTTTTGGCTTGACAAACTTATAAGAATGTAAACTGTCTCAGATCATATTGGAAAGAAATAATCTGTCTACTAGCATTGAAATAAATAATTTGACTCGAAAGACTTTGCCCCTAACCCCCCCCCCCAAAAAAAAAAAAAATAAATAAATAAATAGTCGCTCCCCTTAAAGAACCGAACCACATTCTGGTCAGTCAATTATTACTTGACTCCCGTCCTCATAATCACTGAACTAGGCCTAGGATATTACGTTATATGTATCATTTGTATACCCCGTTCGAAATGCAAATATCAGCAACGCGCAACATGCCGCGTTCCTGACCTTGACTGGACCTTAAAAATATATCACTATGTCTCAACGCTAAATAATTTTTTGTAAACTGTTAAATCTTTTCCCCTCATTACTAAGTTTCAATACTTTTAAAAATATAGGTACTTTCTTTCACGAAATTGCAAATACACATCAAATTGATAATTTTCCTGATCAAAATTCTGACCAGTGTGTAAAAACAGTAGATCTAGACTTACATGTCATCAATATTCAACACAGGATCGCTTGGGTCATCATCAAGTGCATCCTGTAACAAGAGATCTAGGGCATCCTCTTCGTCTGACGATATCAGGTCGTTTTCCATGGTCAAGCAGAATAAGTAGACTGTAGTTTAAAGATAAATTCTTCCGAGCGTTTGCTGCACATGTTGTTTTCAGTAGAAACGGAAACACGTGGTGTCCATGCGTCTGCACATGTGATGCGGGTACGGAAGGACAATAATATGCGGAATTATTATGTTCCGAAAAAAAAATGATAAAACCTTTATAATAAATATTTCACGTCTTCCGAAACAGCATCTTCATAATTAACAAAATCCTTCTACAATGTTTGATGTAGGTTATAATTTTTAAATAATCACTCAATTAAGCCTACATGTACATGAATAGCATATTTAATACTGGTATGTTGACGAAACTTCTAAATTTCTGCGTTGAAATAGATCCTAATCAGAATAAATAAATAAATAAATAAATAAAGTAAATAAATAAATAAATAACTATTCAGTATTGTTTTAAATTCCATGCATATACTAGCTAGACTTCTATTTTTTAGAGGTACATGTACA